ATATATATATTAATGCCATGTCCACCTTTGTTTCTGTTCAAATAAAGTTTAGTTTAGGCTTTATCCTTGGATTGTACCTCTTACAACTGCCTCACACACATGCACACAATGTTGTCTTTCTCTCTTCACAGGGACTTTCCATTGACTTCCATTCATTTTTCATTCATTTCTTTAGCCTAACCCTGACCCTTGCCTTATACCTAACCTTAAACTCAATTTACACTTTAGTCCTAAACCTACCACACTACACAAAAATGCCATTTACACTTTTGGGGCCTGGGCTTTGGTATTCATATACTGTAGATCGGTGAGTCCTCACAAGGCAGCATATTGTTGAAAAATGGGCCTTACAAAGTAACAAATACTTGAACACACACAGCCTCCAGTCTGTTTAATTGAGTTTTTTTTAGCTCAACATTAACTTGATGAACCATAAACAATCTCTAGCTTGATTTAATTGTTTTTTTTTATTATTTTTGATTAATTCCCTTTCTCACTATAGTTTACCCTTCATTTGAATAATATAGCTGGTAATAGGGTGCAAGTTGGACAAGGATTTTAACTTGTTTTTGTTTTGTTCTAATTGTTGGACTTGTCTCTGTTTCTGTTTCCAGCTTTATGCTTCAGCAGATCTGGGCCACAAGTGGACTTTACTCCAGGAGAGGGTGACCAAGGACAGAGTCTTCTGGTCAGTTGAACTTTTGGCTTTTCATTTTTTGTAGACTATGGGCAGCACAATGTCTTAAATCAAATCACAAACTTTTATACTTGGAAACATTGTATGCTGAAAAATAAAAGTATTATTTGAAATTGAGCCACGTACTGCTCTGATTTATTTGCCTAAGGTGAAACTTTCCAAATATGAAACAGAACTGAATGTTTTTTTAATTAAGTTTGCAACAAGTTTTGGTAAAAAACACAAAAAGCATGCAGGTAAATCTCAAAGGATTAGTTTCTGTTTGTTTCAGTCTGTCCTTGTATATATACCAGTAGTCTAATAATTATTAAAGAATGAAGAGAAAAGGAGCGACCTGCTATCAAGATGGTTTAGACAAATCTGTTCCCACAGGTCTTAGTTTTTTGTGACTGACGGTGGTATTTGTCCTCCTGAACAAAAAATGTCTCCTTTTAATTTAAAGGACATCTAACAAAACGGCACCAGACAAGAAGGACACTTGATGAAAATGAAATGATTTTGGAAAACTTTTAAATTAAAAAGATATTCAGACACCAGTGGACNCACACACACACACACACACACACACACACACACACACACACACACACACACACACACACAGAGATTTTGTTCCTGTAGTTGTTGCTTTCTCTCCATGTTTATTTTATTTCTCCTGATGTGTTTTAGCCCTTTCAGTCGGTTTTCATTTTCTTGAAAAAAGATGGGACTCCACCACACGTTTATAGGACAGAAGGTCAAATATTCAGCCTTTTTAGACTGAATGATGTACATAGAACACGTTTTTTAGACATTCACATTTTAAACCAGACTAAACAGCACTGAACATGAAGTCAGTGGTTTGAAGACTTCATTTTGTTCTCTAGGATTGTTTCAGAAAGACATATTGTGGGAGATTGTTTCAGTAGATGGCAGATAGCCGGTTTTTATACTGTATATATACATTCGTTTGTCCTTTAACAGTTTTTCATATGTTCATACCTCATGGTGCTGCAAACAAACCTTAGTTGTATTGTTTTACACTTAGACAAAGAAATTTAAAGATTGGCAAACTTCATGTAGCCTTAACCCTACCGTTTAGTTTGAAGTCACAACAGGTACGTTGTGAAGTATTTCTCTATGAAATACGATACAAATTTGATAGACTACGTACATTAAGTCTTTATATAAACAGACCCAATATTTAATCATATATGAAGTTATCAAGCTTCCATAAAACATTAATCTTCAGGTTTCATGCTTGTTCAGATCTTTTAATAGCCTGGTAAAAACCAAACCCTTGTCCTTCACTTTGCTTTGTACGAGGGTCTGGACTCGCGGCTATAGAGAAGTGATTCTTGCAGGAGGCGTGGCCTCTGCTGAAGTTTAAAATGAATGGAATTGTTTGGCCGCGATGTACAGTATGTCGCTGTGAAGGAGGCTAAGCTAAGAAGCTAACTGGAAATCGCGTGTGCTGTAAACAACCCTACTGAGAGGAGAGAAGTACCGAGCCAAACGAGACAACTGTAAATGAGAGCTGCTGCTTTGTGACTGACAAAACGGTCATTTGCATTCATTCCCAAAGGGAATGAGAGCTTTGCTTTGGAAGTCTTATCAACACTGACTGACTTCATTCACTTTCTCCACTGCCATATGCTAAACTAACTAGCACACAAAAAATCGAAAAATCAACGTCGTTCAAAACTCCGCCTTCTGTTTGCTGATTGGTCCAGGTAAAATAAACTACAAGCAGACACTGCGCAGAAAATTGCCGTTCTGTTCTCTGATTGGCCCGGATGAAAATTCTCCTGAAGAAATCCTTGTCTATGGGAGAAATCCCAGACGGAGGAGTGAAGGGAAACTAGAACTGAGCGGAACTGCGTAGGAAGGCAAGGGCCAAACTAAACTTTTAATGGAGAAAATACGTTTGTGATTTTTTTTCCTAGCACAGTTCATACTCCCTTATTTTCACCTTTCAGCTAAAAAGTATTAGTTTGACTGAGCAGATTTGTCGAACTCTAAATTATAAAAGCACGAGGACATCATAAGGCTCAGAGTTGAACCACATTCATAATGGAAGATGACCCCACTGCAATGAGAATATTAATGGTCTTTGTGRGGTCTTGGTGAGGTATTGAAGGGAATATTGTGGGTTGTGGATGGTTTCGTGCATTTGTAGCAAGGCTAGGGTGATTTATCATCACAGTGGCAGTGTATCCATGATGGATCCTGTGTGCTATGGTGTAGCTTGTTCATTCAGAACTTGAATCAGGCTCCCCATAAGTGAGGCCTGAAATGACAGACCAGTAAACGGAGAGCATTGCCTTTCACCTCAGTTCTTTTTTCACCACGACTGACCGAAGCAACACCCTTTTACTGAGGATAAGACCCCAATCCTTTGATCCATCTCCATCCTACCATCACTTGTGAGCAAGACACACAGATATGTAAACTCCTCCACTTGAGACAAGGACCTCTGTTCTCCATTTCTTATATTTGAACAGGCCAGAAGAATTTGGACAGTTTTGAATGAATGGTCTAAAGGAAATACCGTATCCCTTAACTTGTACAGAAAGCATTTTCTACCTAATTGTACTGACTGAGCACCAACCAAGCAGTACTTGTTTGGTATATGTCATTATGTGAAATTTTCTTCTAATCATTTTAACACATTCCGTTTGAAATAGAATATTAGAGAATGCTTTAAACTTTAAACAATGTTACATAAAAAACAAAAATACCTGTGGTACATACTCAGTATCTACATCAAATGATGCAGCTTTTGCAGATGGAGTGTTTTGGGTCTTTAACTTCATAATTAAACAAAGGACTGACAGCTGGTATTATATTATTTATAATATAACAGGTCAAACAGGTGTAATCTGGAGCTCTTCCCAAGAGAGAGCAATAATCATACATTTCCCATCCATCCATCTATGATTTTTAAATGGCAGTGTTAAGACCAAACATTTCACTCCTCCGCATTCAGTACATTGTTTTCACAGATGTTTCATAACACTGACGTTCTGACTTTAAGTAGCTTTCACTGAGACACTGTGGCCTTGATAACATTAATAATCATGACATGTTAATCTCATTTGCATTTTTCAGCCCTGTCTCCTCTGTCTTCCTTAAGTGATGGCTTTACAGAAAGAATTACAAAAAAATGTAATTCATATGTAGGTGCAAAAGATAAAAAAAAATTAAATCACTGTGCAAAAACATCATTCATGTATGCTCATTTGGATGAAGGTTAGAAACAAAACTCTTTACAGCTAGTGTCTGTATCTGGTTGTTTCACTCTGCAAAGGAAAACAACTCAAATGCATCTTATTTTTCTTACTTTATTCTCTCAAGCAGCCAGCTTTATAGCAACAGCTGACAGAGTTAATCTGGCAGGTATGTCTTTAAATCATTTACCATTCCCTTAAGTCTGATGATCAGTTGCACTAAAATACTGGAATATGTTTCTCCAGAGTTAATTTTAATGTCATCGTGCAGGAAATTACACTACAGCAAAGTTTTGGAAACTTTACAAGTCTTGTTGTCCAATGCAACACTCCACATGTATTTTGTGCTTTTATCACAATCAGAGCATCTTTTTGTGGTTTTTCTGACTTTRCTGTAGTGAAAATATAGGTTGTTGTTTAGCAACCAATCTACTGTGAGAAAACAAAATAACTGAAGGTTAAAAAGCAGATAATGAAAATAACCAGGGGCATCTCAATTGTTTTGTTATCACAAAATGACAAATATAAGAGCTGAAGAATGCAAATTTTATTTTAAGAAAATAATATTTAGTAGCTCTTTGAATAAAAACCTACATTATGTTCAAATGTTTTTTCTTTCTGAATTAATTACCTTTTTTTCTTTCATATTAAGGGTTTTTCTATCATCTATGATGTTCTTTGATGATATATGGTCTGCGATCTCTYATCTTTTYCCCTTTCAGCTACACATCTATGGCTTCCTAATTGCTCATAAAATCTTTTTATAGGGAAGGTAACAATGTTTTAAACGTCCACTCCATCTTTACTCGGCTAATGAAAATTCAGACAGCCCTACAGAGCTCTAATCCCATGAACTGCTTCTTTTACAGCYCACTGAAGGGCACACATAATGTGCACAGTAGTTTACAGTATCGGTGGACTTCTGAAAGGGAGTGAAAGCATAAAAAATTGGGGGATTTTAAAGCATGCAGCGTTCAACTCTTAAGTGCACTTTCCTTGATGAACTTTGCATAATCATTCCAGCACATAAGGAGGACCCAAACAAAATTCACTTACRTTTTGATTTTCTAGCTTACTTTTCAGATTTAAGTTGTTCTCTTTGAGTTATACTGTATTGTTTATCATTGTAGWACCATTATAATAACTTTTCAAACCACTGTGCCAAGTTCTTTTTTGGGGTCAAGTTAAAGCTAAACGTGAACTTGTCTTCTGCAACGGTTTTCAGTG